ATTGAAATATATGGCAATAAATTTGGGAAGAATATTTTTAAAATGTATTTCAAATATATTTTTCTTCCATGTGGGTTTGCAGCTAAAGGTGGGAGCGTTTTGGTGATAAAATCAAGATTTAACTTTGTGGTTTTACCACCCCTAACTGCTAGTGTTAGCAACGTCTTAGGCTTGTTTTAACTGACATCATATGCAGATCAGAGACCACCCCTTTGATCTGAAGATGAATAAAACAGGGTAAATACCATGTAACTATAAAGTTATATGGTATGTTTACATGAGCCATCTAAACAGCATTTTGAACACTGATCAGAAGCCCTCTTTTAACCTCTTGAGCTCCTGAGGATTTACCCCTCTTAATGACCACGCCTCTTTTTGCTACTTGGCGCTGCACTAATTCAACTGATAATTGCACGGTCATGCAATGCTGCACCCAAACAAAATTTACGTCCTTTTTTCACACAAATAGAGCTTTCTTTCGGTGTAATTTGATCACCTGTGCGCTTTTTATTTTTCACACTATAAACAAAAAAACTCCAAAAATTTTGAAGAAAAACAATATTTTTTATTTTCAGCTATAAAAAATATATAGTAAACTCAAAGTTGGTTATAAATTTAGGCCAAAATGTATTCTGCTACATGTTTTTGGTAAAAAAAAATCCCAATAAGTGTATATTGATTGCTTTGTGTGGAAGTTATAGCGTCTACAAACTATGGTATAAATACTGCAATTTACGCCATTTTTCTGCTATACAGCGCTGCGCTAGTTTAACGGACAATTGCAATATGGTACATAAATGAAATTTACATCCTTTTTTTCCCCACAAATTGAGCTTTCTTTCGGTGGTATTTGATCGCCTGTGCGGTTTTTATTTTTTGCGCTATAAAAAAAAAAGGCTGACAATTTTGAGGAAAAAAAAACAATATTTTGGGACTTTTTGCTATAAAACATGTCCAGTAAAAAAAAAAAGCAAAAATCATAAATCATAAAAAGTCATAAATTTCTGCCAAAATGTATTCTGCGACATGTCTTTGCTAAAAAAAAAAACCCAATACGTGTAAATTAATTGGTTTACGTGAAAGTTATAGCGTTTACAAATGGCGGGAAAGATACTGGGATTTTTAGGGTTTTTTTTATACTAATAATGGCGGCGAGTAAGCGAATTATGGCGGCGATCAGGGACTTATGGCAGCGACCAGCGACTTATGGCGGGACTGCGGCGGACATTCTGACATGGGGGGGTACTGACTTGGGGTCACTGACATCCCCAAAAACACTAATACAGTGATCAGTGCAAAAAAAAAAAAACTGACACTGTACTAATGGCAATGGGGAGGAAGGGGTTAACTTTATTTAGCAGGGAAGGGTTATAGGAGTGAGGGGAGTGTTTTACTAGGGGGCGGGGGTGTGTACTGGGCGGGACAAGGCTGATCGAGAAAGTGAAACTATTCTTTCTCGATCAGCTCATCCTCGAGCTGACAGAGAGGTGACAGACAGCACAGCTACTGCAGCTGTGCTCTCTGTCACCGTTTACCACCAATCGCCGGGACATAGCCGCTAATGAGCGGCTGTGACCCGGCAACTGACATCTGCGCCGGTGATCCACAGGACAAATAGGGCGGCAGCGCGCCTTGCGCGCGCCCCCTATTTGTTTACAAAACACACGTTTTAAAACGTGGTTTTGCCTGTGAGTGCCGCCCTGCCACCGTATATGTACAGTGGCTGGGCGGCATGCAGTTAAAAGGCAGCGGCTCATTTTGACAGCTGTCAAAAGCAAGGGAGAAAGTCCCTAAAAAATGCCCCACATGCTACCAGAATGACAGTTAAATGTCTAAAACAGGGTGGGTAGCTCGGTTTCAATGAATATGTCTGTGCCAGGGGATAGATTTACTATTTCTTGTGTACACGTTACCCTCTTACACTCTTTCTGTAACTGGAACATTTTCGATACTTTTAATTCATTAAGGATATCTCTCTTACATTTTATGTGTGTAAATGCTTGCTTCCTCGAATATTACCGAGTCTAAGTTTTACATTTTTCCCGTAGCATCACTGTTGTTCACCTGTGATAAGATTGCAACTGAATGTGTCTACAATTTACATAAATGTTGAAACATGCAAGATTAAATTGATTTTTTTTTTCAAACTTCCATCTTTTAGCTGTGTTCTTTTGTCCTACATGCTGGAGGCATCCACTTACAGTATCTCCCATGGGAGATAACTGGAGTTCTTCTCCCTCTGCCAGCTCTACTGCAAGGCTTTCACATTTATGCTTTGCATACTGTCCCTAGACATGCTCAGTCCCAAGCACGCTCCAGAGACAGATCTCAACTTCTAGGACTAGACTTAGAGCTCTATTTGTGACTGATAAGAACACTAATCCGTTTGTATGCATGGAGTGGTGGGGCTGGGGTGAGAGAAATCACTGGAATTGCCAGGTTTTTACATGTATATATATATTATTAATATTAATACTACATCGAGTTTATATAGCGCCAAAGGGTTTGCTCAGCGCTGTACAATAGAGGGGGGGAGACAATACATGAAACAGTACAGCAACAACAAACAGCATATATATATATATATATATATATATATATATATATATATATATATATATTATATTGTGAGAACTCGCTTCAAAAACGGTAGAGCTTCTTCAAAGCACACAGCAACTCGCTTCTTCTTAAGGGCCTTTTTACCCAATTTTATTTGAAAGAAAAAGTTCCATAAATCCTCCCATGCAGGGGTATCCACATCAAACAAATGCAAATGATATTCAGCCTTCTGGCTGGTACACCAATTTCCGTCTGTCTCCTGCAGACTCTATCCAAAAATGGCTTTCCCGCACACAGCTAGCCAATAGCACACAGCTTGTCTGACTTCCACCTCTACTAGGTGAAGCCCACCTGACTCCAAGGCAGAGACCTCCTGTCTGCCGGGGAGGAGCCCTCCTGACTCCTGTCTGCCGGGGAGGAGCCCTCCTGACTCCTGTCTGCCGGGGAGGAGCCCTCCTGACTCCTGTCTGACTCCTGTCTGCGGGAGGAGCCCTCCTGACATCTGTCTGCCGGGGTGGAGCCCTCCCCTGACTCCTGCCGGGGTCTGCCCTGGGCTGGGGGAGCCCAGAATCATGGCCTGGCCTCCACAAAAAGGCCTGCACACACCTGTGCAATCATCATGCTGGCTGCTCTCAAAATATGGGCCCAGGATTGGAGATTTCATCCCTCCCAAATCTCTTAGAAATCTCCAGGCTACAGGTCCCAAAACAGGCTTTACAAACCAAAGAGGAAACTGATAAGCCAGTTTCCTCTGTATTATGAGAACTGCCTGGAGCCCCTCAACCTGTATGGTTGAGAATCCTGGGTCTCCATCGTGATTTCCACCGTGGCAGGATACCGCACTGCCACTATATATATATATATATATATATATATATATATATATATATATATACATATATATATATACACACATATATATATACATATATATATACACACACACACACAGGCATACTTCGTTTTACAAATGTAATGCGTTCTCCGGGACGTTTCATATTGCAAAAAATTTGTAAACCGAAACGCAGTTTCCCATAGGAATGCAATGAAAACCAATTAATCCGTTCCGGAGGTCAGAAAAAAGTAAAAAAAAAAGTCTTTTATCTAGTCAAAACGCTTTATAAAGTACACTTTAAAGGCATAAATACTGTACAGGGACATAATTAAAAATTTCCAGAATGGCTCCAAAACTCGATGAAAAACCACTTCCAACACCTCAATACTCAACGTCATGTGCTACCCACAGACTCCAGCATGCACGGGCCGGCGCTATAAACCTTCTAGGTGCAATTCATCCTGGGAAAACTTGCTTTATTGTGAAAAAAAATCATAAATGTATTGAAAACCAATAAATCCATTCCGGAGGTCAGAAAACAGTAAAAAAAAAGTCTTATCTGTTCAAACTCTTTATAAAGTGCACTTTAAAGGCACGGAGCCGGCGCTATAAACCTCCCAAGCGCAATGCATCCTGGGGAAACTTGCTTCGTATTGTGAAAAAAAATTGTAAACCGAGGCATTATTTTCAATGGATTTTCAATCGTAAACCGAAAATTACGTTAACTGAGGTGTTCGTAATCACCCTCCTTTTTAAAGGCACAGTAACAGGTCTTTGAGAGCCAGAATTCTTGCTGTTTCTCAGGTGTTCAAATACTTATGTTCAGCAGTGCAAGACAAATAAATTCTTTAAAAATCATACAATGTGATTTCCTGAATTTGTTTTTTAATTCTGTCTCTCAGAGTGGGAATGCACCTACAATGTGAATTTCAGACCCCTCCATGATTTCTAAGTGGGAGAACTTGCAAAAACGCAGGGTGTTCAAATACTTCTGTTCCTCACTGTATATATATATATATATATATATATATATATATACACACACACACATATACACATATATATATATACACACATTCAGTCGTATCCGACTCTTGGCAATTGCATGGACCGTCACTCGCAAGTGACTTCTTCCATGAATTCTCTTAGCAATTATTCTACACAGGGTAGGTTGCCAGGTCTTTCCCCAATATAGTATTGCATTATTTTTGTATTCCCATTTTTAGTCAGTAGGTGGAGCTCTAGGCACCTTTTCACCTTACATTGCAGTTTCACCTGTAATCCTGTTTTATGAGTTAGCAACTTGAACACAGTTTTACGCATGCAATTGAATTAGTCAGAGGAGTGACTCTTCCCCCCTCCCAACCTGTTCTGTTAAACAGAGGCAGTATAGAATTTTATTTAGAGTGTGATAATAAACAGCTTCTGCTGTGCTGTATCTTTATGAAAATGATAATGCTCTATATAAATAGCCAAAAAAAGACAAACATACTGTAAAATGTTTCTTTAAAAATGCACTTTAAACATAAACTTTAAAAATAAATGCAAAATGTAAAAAACCCAACCCGTATAATTCCAGTTTTAGGGACAGTAAAAGATGTCATACCGGCTGATGAGGTTTCTGGGATGGAATTCTCTGCGGCACTGGGATGGTTCTTGGTTTGGGCTTCGTTAAATTGAACTCTTTCACTTCTGTTACTTTTGATGATTTCACTGGAGTAGAACCAGTTACTGACTTACTTTCAAGGCCATCTATTACATCCAGGATTTCAGGTTGCCAGCTAGTGGAAAACACACATGCGGGTCATAGGATTACAGTAATGGATCAGGAATGAATCACAGTCAGATAGCTGCAGTCAGAAGACATGCAATAGGTCATATATGTTAGTTCATATTTCTACAGTCTATCAACTACAGGCTGCACCTCTGACACTTGGACGGAATACAAGCAGGTTAAGACAGAGGGATAGGCAATTTGCAGCATCATTCAGAACCATGTTAAAGTGTATCCAAACCCAAAAACAAAAATGTAATCTATTGCAGCTCACCAGTCCTTAGATGTGATATTGCATTAGTTTTGACGTTTAGAATGGAGAACATTTCCAGCAAGTACAGATTCCTTATCAATTCATGTGAGCTTAAAAAAAAGTTTAAAGAACTCTATCTCTATTTTGTAGTCTACTAGTCCCGTCAATCCACTATACTGTATACTGGGGATGGAAAAGGGCAGACAAGTCTAGTCTGTCTGACAACCATGGCTGTCCCCATAGATACAGTGGAGAAAAAAACGTAGACATGAAGGGATAGCGTTTGTTACTGAAACAGGATCCATGAATGGATGAAGGTCAGATGAATTAGAGATCCGCTCTCTACATTCATAGACTGTTTTTTCATTCATAGAAGCTATTGTATGACTTCTATGAATGGAGGAGGTGAGCAGAAAGGGCAGACATAGACAGGCACTCTTAAAGTGTGCTTGTCACAGCTTCCATAGTTCTATTTGGCAGCACAGTGGCTAAATGGTTAGCACTTCCGCCTGGCAGTACTAAGGTCGTTGGTTCAAATTCCAACCAGAGAACCACCTGCCTGGAGTTTGCATGTTCTCCCTGTGCCTGTGTGGGTTTCCTCTGTGTACTCTGGCTTCCTCCCACACTCCAAAGACATGCTGGTAGGTTAACTGTCTCCTGTCTAAATTGGCCCTAGTATGTGTATGCATGAATGTGAGTTACGAACCTTAGATTGTACGCTCTTTGAGGGTTAGGGACTGAGGTGAATGTACAATAATATATGTAAAGCGCAGCGTAAATTGATGGCGCTATAGAAGCACCTGTAATAAATAAATAAATTTGCAATTACCCTGAAAGACTATGGTTGCGGGGGTGGGGGGGGGAGAGACATTGGAGAAGCAAGATTTCATCTAATAGAGTTGCCAGCAGTACAAGGGACACATCACACTGATGGAAAGTAATGTTCCTTGTGCTGATTGTTTTTTATATATACTGCTGTACAATGACTATCCCTGATCCATCTAGGCTTTCCATGAACCTAAATCAAAGCTAACCTTACTAAACAAACTGTGATATTGCTTTCCAAAATTTCTCATTTTTTAGATACATATAAGATCCACATAGATTGCAATCTGTTAGAACTGTAAGAATTATATCTCTGGTTTTCGAAAGGTGGTGACCTATGCCATGACTTCCTTTATGTTGTAAAGTAGCCCTGACCCCACCGCTTTCATCGCAAACACAATGACGCCTACTCCACGCAACTAGAGCATAACTAAAGAAAGAATCAGTGGCTCTTGGAGCTGGCATCTCGACAATACTTTATTTTGGCTCAGAGATTAGGTAATTGTGGTGCCAATCCCAGAACAGGATCGTCCAACTAGACAAGGTAAGTGCAAGCTAGAAGGGGTTTCATCTATTATTAGGTGTAAGGTATCTGAACCCAAAAACAAAATGTTAATATATTGAAGTTTACCAATCCTTAGATGTGATGGCTGCATTAGTTTTCCCTTGCAGCCTGTACCTATGGAAGGAGCCATGTTTGTCATACAACAGACATGGACTTCAAACATGTCTGCCTTTGTTCATCTCCATTACACTTTTAATTGATTTCTGAATAAAAATGAATGCAGCCACCACATATACAAATTAATAAACTGCAATATATTAAACTGCTTTTTTAGGCTTAAAGTGGTAGTAAAGTCTGTTTTGTTACTTGTACCTGCAGGTAAGGTTATAACAAGGCATACCTGTAGGTACTGTAAATGCACATTTAGGAGATATTTACTTGTAAAGGAGCACCGGCGCATGCATTCTGAAGGAAAGACATGCCCATGCTGTTCCTTCAGAGCTGTATGCCATGACTCCAGCGTGCATGCGTGGGAGTGACGTCATTGCGGTTCGGCCATTCAAGTCGCCGGAGCTCAAGAACCCAGAAAAAGGACCGGGTGAGGATGGAAGTCCCGTGAGTAGTGACAACATGCCTCCACAGAGCTTTGTTTTCAGCTAAGTTTCACATAATGTGCCTGGCAGGGGCAAAGTTTTCTTTTTTTTTATTATCAGGTTAACTACCACTTTAATATGCTTTAAGGTGTTATGGTTAGGCTTTGAAGGTTAACCATTTAAGTATTTAAAGCCATCTAGTTTCTAGTTGAAGTATTTGAAGCAAAAACATTTTTTTTTTTGTTTCAGATAAAACAGGGAACAGTGAGAGCCCCGTCACGTTTTATTGATGTCCCACTGGGGACAAAAAATACATTTAAATAAAATAAACAAAAATAATTAAAAAAACGTAAAAGCGCCCCCTACCCCCACCGCGGGTGTAGGTCTGGCACACATAAGTAAACTGTGATTGCACTACACATATGAGATATTGCCATGAACATCTGAGTGACAGAAATAAATCTAGGGACACAATTCATGATTAACTCTAAACTGATAACCTATAAAAGATTTTAAAGCGTCACCTATCATCTTTTATTCTGTACCAACATAGTAAGTAGGTGTACCTCGGTTTACGAATTTAATTCGTTCTGAGGGACTTTTCATATTGCGAAAAATTTCCTAAACCGAAACACTGTTTACAATAGGAATGCATTGAAAACCAGGTCAGAAAAAGTAAAAAAAAGAAAAGTCTTTTATCTGTTCAAAACTCTTTATAAAGTGCACTTTTAAAAGCATAAATACTGTACAGGGACATGATTAAAAATTAATTTGTAAATGCAATGAAAACCAATGAATCCCTTCCGAAGGGTCAGAAAAAAGTAAAAAAAAGTTTTATCTGTTCAAAACTCTTTATAAGTGCACTTTAAAGGCATAAAGGGACATGACTAAAAAAATGCATTCAAAATCAATTAATCCGTTCTGGAGGTCAGAAAAAAATCAAAAAATGTTTTATCTGTTCAAAACTATTTATTAAGTGCACTTTAAAGGCAAAGTACTATACAGGGACATGATTAAAAAAAAATTGTAAATGCACTGAAAACCAATTAATCTGTTCATATTGCAAAAAGAATTCGTAAACCGAGGCATTATTTTCAATGGATTTTCATTCATAAACCCAAAATTACGTTAACGAGGCGTTCGTAAACCGAGGTATGCCTGTATTATATTGTGTTTGTGTACACTAAAATTCATTTTAGCTTATTTTTTCCTAATTTTTTTTTTTATGTCTGACATAAACAAATTATAACACCCACAATTATATTCTACAAGGCCTCTGCTTTCAGAAAATATATACCATTTGGGGGTTTTAAATAATAGTCTAGCAAAAAATGCTGATTTTTAACTTGTGTTTGAAAATTTAAAAAAATGCCCAGACAGTAAGAGGTTCAAACCACCATCTCCAGGGAGATAGAAAAACTTAACTTTCCAGTAAGATATCCATCAAAATTATCAAATGTATTTTTAAATGCAGTTAGTTGTATGGGCCTAAATTGGACCTAGCCATCTTGAATCCCCTGTACAGTAGAACTCAGACTAGAAGAGTAAAGGACAGAACTTTAAGCCAATAACCAGTGTGGCCGTTTTCACAGGCGTGATGAAGCTGTCATAGCAGATAGGACTTACTTTAGCAAAGGAATGATCCAATTTTCCTTGACGTAATTTGAATCATATATCTGACTCCATTCATCTTTTATCCATGTGTTCAGGTTCAGGTGATCGAGGAAGAACCTAAGAAACTGAGCAGAGAGATTTATTACTAAGTATGAAGTTATATCATTTTGTAATTTGATTTCTATCAGTTTCATCAACTCAGCAGTGCTTCTCTGCACCACTGCATCCTGGTCCGTCATGGTGACAGCTGCAAATATTAGGGACATAGTTAAAAAAAAAAACTCCAATCCAACAAAAGCCCAACTGCAGGTTTCAGGTATTTCTCCATAAAGCCTTCCATGTTCCTGGCTCACAGATTAAATATTTTTACAATACAAATTTTAATTCAAGTAGAACACTGGCTGGTAAACTGATGTCCCAATGCCGTCCCTCTTACCCTCCAGTGTTGGTGGTGGGCAGCCTTCCTCAATACTGCAGAAAACAGCAGCCATGTCTTGACCTATGAGTGCCAACCCATGCAAAACTTTGCTGTGAGCCCAGGCTGCATGATTGTGTACCCCAGGGGGGTCACCAATGACAGCCTGGGGTCAGGATACAAACACAGGGGTTCTTCTGGGCTCTGAGGAAGAGGCAAGCCCTCGAAACGCATCAACCTGTTGAAGGTCCAGAGTTTTGATTACGGACAGATACGTAGTTCGGATTGGACAGAGCTGTTCCTTCACGATGTGCCTATGACTTTATTGTCATTTTGTGAGTACAATACCTACTTTTAACATTTAATAAACACATTTTTTAAGGTAATGCACTAGGCCAGTGCACCATCTGGTTCTTCCTACATAGCCATCTGAGACATTAGATATCTCCTTGCCTGATCACTTACTCATTCTTTATAGACACCTAGTTTTTGCTAAAATCTAACTTCCTGCTACTCTCCAGAACTTCCTATGTATGCCTCATGCACACTGGGAATTCAACCCCAATGCATGAGGCTGCAGTGCTTAGCTACAGCTGGAGGGCACAGTCGCACTGAAGGGCTAAGCGATTTTCGTATTAGCTGTAGTTTTCTAGTTACACTATCTATGTAAGCTGTAACAAAACTGTTGAGTTTCGATTCCCTGGAAAATATGTAAGAAAGGAGAGTGTATTATCAGCTAGTTTTATTCTCACTGCGTATGCAAACCTGTAATTGGCTACTGCCTTAGCCGCCGCCTATGTATATGTTATAGAAATATCTATCAAGTGATAACATTTTGATAATTATGTTGATACACCACACTACTGTGTCTGTTAATGCTCATTATCTTGAGCTCGTGGGGGGGTATAATTCAGCAGAAGGTCCACGGCAGATGTAACCCCTGGGGTAATATTTAGTAACCCAACACGCACCGTCCAGCCCCACTGCCAGAAGCCTGTCAAACTCTATGAGAGTCTTACAGCTACAGTGGCCGGACTGGGAAGGTGCATTCAGCGATACTTCTGTTAGGGCAGTATGAGCCCAGGGGGGAATGCCTAGAATGAAGACTGCTTTCTGAATCTTCTTCCTTCAGCACATGCTACCCTAAACATACATACTTCTATGTGCACTGCCCAGACCCATTGAGCCACAGCAAAGGCCATAAAGTAACATTTAACCTTCCTTTACTTTTTAAAATAAACATGGTATACTTATATGCTCCGTTCAATGGTTTTGCACATGGTCCTCCTCTTCTGGAGTCCCCCGCGGGCGCTCCAGGCCCCTCCTCTTTGGAGGATGCCCCCATGGAAAGCTGCTTGTGGGCTCGTTCTTTAGCCTCCCTGTCTATTCGCATCGCCCCCGCCCACATCATCTGATGGCTCCTGCTGCTATCAATCTGACCAATGAGGAGGGAGACAGCAGCGAGAGACACTACTCTCCTGCACATCGCTGGATCAGATTGGGCTCAGGCAAGATTAAGCAGGGGGGCTGGGAGGATCCTGCAGCACAAAAGGTTTTTTACCTTAATGCATAGAATTCTTTAAGGTAAAAAACCTTACGGCTTTAGAGCCACTTTAATGCTGAAAGCCAGGCTACACAATTATTGTCTAAATACAAAGGCAACGAATATTCTTACCTAAATCTTGGTGTTCTTTTTGTATTTCTTCTAGATCTGTGCAGTAATCCAGCATAAAACAGATCTGTTCTCTGTACAGGCTGTACAGTGATGATGTAATCTCAATTATTACAAGGTAATATCTAACTTTGCAAAAGCATTTGGTCTCACAAAATGGATTTTTTTTATATCTTGTGGTTATTGAGGAACATACATAAAGGAAAGCTTTTGTGCCTGGAGTTCAGATTTTCTCTATACTTTTTCACTTACTTTTTGCACTTATGCCAGGAATTTGCTCTTTGCTAAAAAAATTTTAAATATTCTATGTGGAGATATATCAATAAAATATGTCATGCAGCAAGGCCATCAGTTTCTTTATGTGGGTATTGGGTATGTTTTGGTGATCCATCCTCAAATGTTGTGCCGCGTTCCAGCTTTCCTTAAAAAAACCCCATAGAGCCAAACTTGTGTACGCGCTTCTGGCTGGACTAGGGCTAACAGGATGTCCCTCCATACAAACACACAGTCGTTACAAGCCTGTCCCCCCCTCTTCCCACCTCTAAGCTGATTGGCTGTTGGTTTCTATGTTGTTACCTGCAACTTCCTTTTGGGCCCACGTTCTCACCCAAAAGGAAGTTCGGGGAAGCTGTACTGAGAGACCGGGAGCCAGTAAATAAGTAAATGTGTGCCACATATCATGCATATTAAGTAGTGGGAAATCTTTACCACACTGCTTAGCATGCATGGATTAAAAAAAGAAAATCCTTCATACTATGGAGGAGAATGAGAGGTGCTGACCTCCAGTGTCTCAGGATCATCATTCTGGCTGCCAAGAAGAGAACACGCAACGGGCCTTTCTGGTGGCCGAGATAGGACCAGAGATTAGTGAGAAAAACAACATCCGGCATTGTGTGAATTTTATGACTTGGGACCTGCTCATATATACTGATAAGATTTGTGACTAAAAGGCAGATATCAGGGGGAAAAAAAAAACACCATATATCAAACATGTTTCATTTTTCGCAGCACTAGCATCTGTTCTAAGTGGAGGGATTATTTTCTTTAAAGCAGTAGGATATGTATATGTAATGTACTATTTATGGCATGTATATATCCATGTAACATTAAAATCTTCAAATTTTTCCCTAGGACCACAGTCAATATGTTGAGTTTGTATTAAAGTAAACATTTTGTGCTAGTCATATTTTGTGAATTGGTGGTGAAGATTGTTTTCACAGGCAGTGATCTTCTTTTAGGTAATGTCCATCACAGAATTATTCTGCCACATTAGGCCACAATGTGCTGTCACTAGTGTGTTGCTCCCTAGTATCCATCACGCTTCGCTCTTCTGTTTTCAAACCTACTGTCAGAAACCTCGTGTTAGCCATCAGAGAGATGCATCCACAAGTTTTTGGGCTCCGGAAGCTAACTAAGCATGTGAAAATGTGCATTCACATACCAACGCATGCAGAATGGCATGCATGTGGAAGCAAGGACATGTCCACCACAGATTCTGGTACGAAGTGGACTATTTAAACCTGGATGGAATCATTGCTGGATGGTCTTTCAGCTTGTATCCCTATTATCCTTGATCCTGAATCCTGCTTGACTCTGTTATTGACCCAGCTTTCGTCTATACCTTCCTGTTGATGATTGCTGCCTACCTGTGTTACCAACCTTGGCCTGAACTCTTGACCAATATTCTGTCTATCGATTCTGTACCTCCTTGCCTGCATGTTGCCAACCTCTGCTCGTCTCTGATATTAATCCTGCTGGTGGTTTGATACCTTTCTGCCCGACTGTTACCGAACTCAGCTCATGACCCCACTCTGCTCTCTACTGGCTTGGGTGAAGTTAGGGTGCCCTCATTACTGCGTTTCTGCCTACCTGACACAGGTGCTCCCAAGTTCAAGCCTGTAGTTCTTGCTTCCTGGCACTTGTACCCTTCCATTGCCTTAGCAGTCCCTACTTCAACTTCAAGGGGTGCTCAGATAGGAATTGTGCAAGAGGCCATCCTCATCATCTCCAGCTTCTCATACAGGCAGTGCCGAGTTTATAATGGTGCAAAAGGGGAAACTGCCCTGGGCCCCCTGACAGAAGGGGCCCCCCTCTATACAGTTGTGCTCAAAAGTGTAGAGGATATGTATAGGGCGCATCAATGGAGGAGGCTGTGGGCCGAGAGATGTCAGCCGGAGATGGAGAAGACACAGGACAGCAGGCACCAGGCAGCACTTCTAGAAGTTGAAGCAAACTCTGTATATGGAAGAGGATAGAACAAGAAGGCTTTTCTAAGTGCAGTATATCCAGAAGAATCTTTAATAATGACGGTTAGAAACACTTACAAACTCATGGTTAAAACAGGCTCAATAAAATCTTTAGAGTGCACAGGCTCAATGCTGGATGGTGGATTGAGCCTCTGCATTCTGCCGATTTTATTGAGCCTGTTTTAACCACGAGTTTGTAAGTGTTTCTAACCGTCATTATTAAAGATTCTTCTGGATATACTGCACTTAGAAGTGCCTTCTTGTTCTATCCTGTGCTCAAACGTTTACATACTCTGGCTGAAATTGTGAAATTTTGGCATTGATACTGAAGATATGACTGATCATACCAAAAAAACTGTCTTTTATTTAAGTATAGTGATTATATGAAGCCATTTATTATTGCATAGTTGTTTGGCTCCTTTTTAAATCATAATGATGACAGAAATCACACAAATGGCCATGATCAAAAGTTTACATACCCTGGAATGTTTGGCCTTGGTACAGACACACAAGGTGACACACAGGTTGAAATGACAATTAAAGGTTAACTTCCCACATCTGTGGCTTTTTAAATTGCAGTTAGTGTCAGTGTATAAATAGTCAATGAGCTTGTTAGCGATCACGTGGATGCACTGAGCAGGCTAGATACTGAGCCATGGGGAACTAAGAGGAATTGTCAAAAGACCTGCCTAACAAAGTAATGAAACTTTATAAAATGGAAAAGAATATAAAAAGATATTCAAAATCTTGAATATGCCAGTCAGTACTGTTCAATGACTTATTAAGAAGTGG